ATCTTGACTTTTGTCTTGCTACCAGACTTTTATAACTCAGGAAAAAGAACGAGGCTGATCACTTCGTGCAACTCTGCCTCAGTAAAATCCAGTTCATGTGCAAGTCAAGACATTACCCCATGATGTCATTTGTCCTCTTCAAAAACGAAGGGAACAACAAATCAGTGGTGATTTGCAACGTGGACTGGAACGAGAGATTAGAGACAGCAAAACAATATTAGGAGTTATTGTAGTGCCTGACCATGTTGTAATCTAGGCTTGTGATGACAAAAGCTTTGAATATGATGACTCAAAAAATTTAGAGGGAAGGGTGAATCTAAGGGATGTTTTAAAGGAAGCAACAAGAGAACTGGGAATATGAGATGAAAGAGAGATTGAAATGACTTCAAACTCTACTTTATGAGCTTGCCAGTGATTCTGTTGTTTGCTCAGAAATGGGATAGTTTGGGGAAAATGAATTCAGTTTTCAACATTTTGAGTTTTGAGGCAACAGTGAACATCCCAGATGAAGACACTGGAAAGCAAACGAGGTCCCAACTAAAGATAGAGATATGGGAATCAACAAAACTTAGAACTGGAAGGGACTATTTTGCACATTAGTAAATTGAAGTCCAGTGAAGTGACTTGTCCCCAGTCACATAGCTGCTTAGTGGGAAAACCAAAGTAAAAATCTGGGCCTGCTAATTCTAAAGCTCCCGATCCTTTTCCACCTTACTATATTGCTGCTGATCAGTTTAATGCTAATAATTGAAGACATTACAGTTGACAAATTCTTTGAGAAGTGATTTTTTTTTACCAGACCTGTGATTTTTATGTGTTGTGACTGAAATCAATGTAAACTGAGGCACAAAGCTCCAAGCATGATCAGTTCATAAGCAAAGTGTGAATTTGTCATTAAACAGGGTCTCAGCCTCCTTAGCAAGCTAAGACCTTAGAATGAGAGTTGACAATCATTTTTATAGACAAAAGAAGCATCCAAAAACTAGAAGGCAGTATCAAAGATAGGGAAAACAATACAATTGGTTGGAAATCAGGAATGCCGAACTAGCAACAACCTTTCCTTTCAGATTTCTGACTGATTTTGTGCACCTGCAAAAATAACCAATGGCATATAGATAACATATTTCTTTTAATTGTACAAGAGGAGATAGTGGTATAGAGGTACTGGGTTTTCTTTTAATTAAAGTGATTTATAAGAAATTTTGTTAAGTCATTTTCAGTTATGTCCAACTCTTTGGGACCCCATTTGGGGTTTTCTTGGCAAAGATACTGGAGTGGTTTGCCATTTTCTTCTGCACCTCATTTTACAGATGAGGACACTGAGGTAAACAAGGTTAAGTGATTTGCCCAGGGTCACACAGCTAGTAAGTGTCTGAGTCTAGATTTGAACTCTGGAAGATGAGTCTTCCTGACTCCAGGCCTGGCACTCTATCCATTGTGTCACATAGCTGCCCAATTTATAGGGAAAGTGAACTCAAATTTAACTCAGAGAAGAAAACTGAACTTCTGAACTCATAAACTTCTGGACTTAACTTAAGGACAAAGAAACTTAACTTAGGCAGCCATATAAAATGTTTAGCAGTGATACAGAATAGAATCAGTGACAAGATAGAATCAATATGATTTTCTCATAAGTATGAGAAGCTTCTCCTGCCTATGCAAACCAACTCTTTCTCTATAATGGATACCTTTAGAGAGCTGTTTGGGGCACCGAGAGTCACTTATCTAGCATCCCTAGTGAGTATTTGTGAGAGGCAAGACTTGAACTCAGGTCTTCTTGATTCTGAAGGAAGATTTCTATCCACTAGCCCAAGGAAAAAAAAAGGGGTTAGGCCAAAGCCTCAAATTACATACACATTTAGGATGCAGCTGTACCTGTTCATTCTGGTATAGAATATGAAACCTCTAGAGCTGTTGGACTTGGTGATCTTAGAAGTGATTATCATTTCCTGAAATCATGTATTTGTTGCCTTAGCTGTTGTTAAAGACTGTTAAGGGGTCTCCTGAACTTTTTTTTTTTTTTTGAATTGACATTTTTTCCAGAAACACTAGACCCAGAGCATGTTGGAGGCCTTGAATACATCAAGGACAAAGTCCCCTCATCCCCTGCAGCTGACATAATTTGTTGTTTGCATCCCAAACTGGATGCCCTGTGTGTCCTTGGAAGTCAACAGGTGCCAGTGAGTCTGAGCTAGGCTGAGAAACTGCTTGAGCAGCTGGGACCCTGTAGATAAGCAGACCATCCTATTTTTCTAGTCTAGCAGTTCCCAAGAGAAAAGAGGCTTTTGTTGCCAATGCCCTGTTCTTTTGGGAGGGGTTTTCTCACCTCTACTGCACCTTTCTCTCTCCCATGCCACGCCCCTTTAGGTAGAGATTTGTATTTCCTCCTCCTTCCTTTGTCTTGCTGTCATAAATATGCAGACTTCTGTATGGATTGTAATCTCTTTGGGTTCCACATGCATGTTCATTTCTCTTGTAATAAACCTCGTTTTCATGTAACTTTTATGAGGCAGTGATTGCCTGTTGACACTGTCCAGAATGGTGAACAGTGCCATCCTGCCAATTTTAGAAAAGAAAGGAAGAAAGAAAAAAAAAACATAGGAGGGGAAAAAAAAAAAAAAAGCCCAGCATAGTGCAGAGTCATTGAAGCAAAGAGAAAAGAAGATTTTAGGAAGGAATTGTCAACATTCTTAAATGCCATGGAGAGACAAATACCCAGTCTTTGGTTAGCTAGCTGGTACCCCAGTTCCTTTGGGATTGGATAGCTGCCTGGAATCCCAGTGTTTAAGCCTGTGCCATCTGCTGACAGACTTCCCTGATGTCAAATGTTTATTTCCTGAGGCTAATTCTTAGTGACCATCTTTAGAATCTTCTCATGTCTTGCTGCCTGTCTGCAGTGTCCTTTTCCCTGAACTGCCTGTAGGCCTCCACCTATTGGATGGGCATTTTGGGGACTTTCCTTGATTGCCTACCTGTCCCCATAACTCCACAAGCTACTGAAAAAAAAAATCAATGACTTTGAGATTAAGAGGAATCATCAAAGGGTTCAGAATTCTAGGGTTTATTTAGTTCAGCCTCATAGTTTTACAGATGAGGCCTTTGAAATAAACCTAGCTGGAAAAGAAAGCAAGAAAGCTTCAGATGTTTAATGGGAAGAGACTAAAGAGTCTGGAAGAGTAGGCAATAAGTATAGGAGTAAGGTCCTGGAAGGGTTCAGAAAGAGTTAGCTTTGATAAAGAGAGAAAATTCTTCCTCTGAGATGAAAATTATCTTTTTTTAAAAGACAGTTTCAAAATGCAAAGTCATCAGTCAAACATCAAATATATTTCCTATACAGGTAATCTGGGGATAGCCTACCCTCAGTAATTGAGGAATTGAGGACAACTGAGGAAGTATTTCTTAGCTGAGTTAGGTAGGCAAGATATTTGTAAAGTGCTTACCACAATGCCTGGCACTTACTAAATGCTTATTTCCCTCCCTTCCTTCCTCCCTCCCTCTTGCCCTCCTCTCTTTCCTTCCTTCCCCCCAGTTTCTACCTCTATAAATCAAAGATCAGTAATATATTACCATTTGCCAGAGTTACAAGATTCAAATGAAATTATATATACAGAGCTTTTGTAATCTTAAAGAGTTACATAACTGTGATGTGTTATTGTTGGTGGAGTTCTTTAGGCATTTTCCTCAAATGATATTTGAGTGTTAAGTAAAAAGAAAGCTGGCTTATTATTATTTTAAATTGGGACTCCTGCTACTCCAACACAATCAAAATTAATTTTCTTTCAGTATTTATCAAATTCCATTATAAAAGATAATACTAGTGCAGTGAAAATTTTGGTATAAAGATTTTTTCAAGTCCTTGACAGAGGCCTTCTAATCAAAAATAGTCTCTGATACAAAAACATTTTGGAACAAGAGAATTTGGCTAATTCTCTTAAGTTCTTTGAAATGATACGTAATATGAAAACATTTGATGTTTAATAACCAAGTCAAAGTGTCTTCCTGGGAAAACATCATAATAGCATCAGAGTTTTAGAGTTGGAAGAGAACCTTGAGGTTACCTAGTCCAACACTACAATTTTTCTGATAAGGAAATTTGGTCCTGGAAAGGTTAAGTGATTTACCTAGCAGGGGTGGGGAACCTGTGTCCTTCCTGCTCCTCTGGTGCAGCCTTTTGATTGAGTCCAAGTTTTACAGAACAAATCATTTTATTAAGGGGATTTGTTCTGAGAAGTTTGGATTCAGTCAAAGGTCCGAACTTGAGGACCTAGAGGGCCACGTGTAGCCTCGAGGACGCAGGTTCCCCACCCCTCACAGGGTCTCTCAGGTTCTCAGTTCTCAGACTTTACATCCAGTTTCCCAATGCACCACAATACAGATAGATCCAAAACTGATTTCTTCTTTGGCTTCTCTTTGGTGTTTTTCCCATTCCCACTATATTTTGATTCTGGTGATAACTGAATAATAATAATAATAATAATTAGCATTTATGCAGGTTGTCCCAAAAATCTTAGTGCAGTTTCAAGTGATTGAAACATTGCGTGAGACTTTAAAGTTTGCAAATAAATGTTGCCTCATTCGATCTTCACAACAGCCCTATGAGGTAGGTGTTGTTATTATCCCCATTGCACAGATGGGTAAACTGAGGCTGAGAGACGTTAAATGACTCGCCCAAGGTCATATAATAAGGAACTGTCTGAGTTCAAATTTGAACTCAGGTCTCTACATGGCTCTAACTCTCTTGACTATGCCACCTACTCACAGGAATTTCAGAAAACAAAACACAAAAAAACAAACCTTTTTTTTAACGTTGGAGTTTTCTTTTGGGGGAGGGATTTTTTTTGAGAGTTGAGTAAATTAAAAAAAAAAGGGGGGGGATGAAAGTAACTGCCAACCAACTCCTAAAAGCCCCCCCCTGCTTTTCAGCCAGTCAGGAGCTGGATGCTGTGGAGCCACAGTGATGGAGCCAATGGGAGAGCGCAGAGGGGGCATGCGCGCTGCCCCCCGAAGCCCCGCCCCGTCGCCCCGCCTGGTGGCTGTAGTTGGTGTGGCTCGTAGGTCTGTGGGAGTCTGGTTAGTGTCTGGTATAAATGCCTCTCCTCCCCGTCCCCTACTTTTCCTTTCCCTTCTTGACTTTTCCTCCCCGACTTTTCCTCCCCAGCCTTATCTTTGTTTTATTTTACATTTTCAGTGAGGTTCAGTTGTGTTTTTTTTTTTTTTTTCGTCCCCTGAGGGTTTCCCTTCATGTAACTCCCGTCAACTGATAAGAGCGGGGGTTGGGGTGGGGGAGGGGAGGAGGGCGTGGGTCCTGGAAGGGGCCCCAGCACTGAAGGGGGGGCAGGGGAAAGGAGACCCTGGCTTCCTGGGAGGAATGAATTCCCTCTTCCTGGGAAAGGGGTGTGAGGGGAAGGGAGCAGCCCCCTCCATCCTTCATCAGTTGTCTGAAAAGGGGAGGCCTTGGTAAAGAAAATGCATTTTATAGCTTCTCAATATATATAAGTGCGTACTAGCAAGCCGAAGGAAGCTAAGAAAAATCCAAATTGCCCAATATTACATTTGTATATAGAGTAAAATTTATGGTAAAATTTCCCCGAGATATCTCAAGTTTATTTGCCCAATCAAACTAATGATTATACAATTGATTAATAAGTATTAAGGCACTTTCCATATGCCAAGTACTGTTCCAGGTGATGGGTATGGGGCTGAGGTGAATTCAAACCAAAAACATGACACCTTACCTTAAGGAGTATATAGTTGAGTGTGAGTGGGGCTGGTGAGGTATATACTTACACGTGGAAATACACAGAAAAATAATTATCAAAGAAAGACAAATTATCAAAAATAAGTGGAATGCAAGCTCCTTGAGGGCAGTGCATGTTTATTTTGTCTTTTTTTTTCACTAGGGCCTAACAGACTCCCTTGCACATAGTAGGATCTTAAATATATGTTAAATTGAATTATCAAAGTTTTTCATTCTAATTTTACCATGACTATAACCATTACATATGCACTGTTATGATAGGAAAGCGATAGTTATGACTTCTTCATTGTTACTTTAGTTTTCTTAGGACTATGAAGTTAGTGTATTTTCTAAGGAAATTGATTTTCTGCTAGATCTTACATGAACTTTGGGGGAAAAAAATGGCTAAAAGATACCTTTTTGGTAGGTTAATATTGCCTGTGGAAACATTTGGTAGGCTTTTGCTTGGAGGTGCATTAATCATTTTAGTTGGCAAAATGGGACAAATTTTGTTTATGCAAATGTTACTAGGTCTTGTAGGAGAGGTGGTGGAGCTAACATTTTGTTTGCTGTGATTTTGAAAACCTGATTCACAGTGAAAAATAAGGCAAAATAAAAGTTTATGTATTTTTTTCTCCCCCCCCCAAGCCATTATTATAGAAGCATTAAATTGTAGGAGCACCTTTGAGGCCTTACAGTTTTTCCCAGGAGAAATCTGTGGCTTCCTGGCAAAACAAAGGAAACAAGAGAATGCAATCTCTCTCTCTTTCTCTTTCCATAGTACGAGTATTGCAACCTTTTTCTCTTCTACATACAGATTCTTTTGAATCAGACTTGAAGGTATGTATACCTTTCCTTACTACTCTAGTCTCTGCAGAAGAAAACTGTAGGGGAAAAGCAGGAAGTCCTAAAAATAGAGAAACTAGTATTATGGCTAGTGCTGGCTTCTAAATTTCTATTTTTCTTTATAGTTGATTCATTTTAATCTTTATTCCTCCTAAAAATGATAGTGTTGGGGTGGTAATATATCACAGAATGTTGATTTTTAAAAATATATATGAATTGCATTTGCAAGTGTGAGAAAATTAGGGGGCTCATTAAGAGTCTTAAGTATAAATATAGAGTAAAAGAAAATGAATGTTAAAGAACTCTACTATCCCTGCAGGGACTTAGGAAAACTTTTGTCATTATTTATGTATTTGAGGTAAATTGATTTCCCAAGCATATTTAGTGGAGTAACTGTTGAGAGTGGTATGATTTACTTTTGGTCCTAGGTGTGAGCATCTAATAGAATTATCTTCTCTCACTACCATGTGGCTTCCTGGTCACTGAAAACTTTGTTGTTATTGAAGGTTTTTTTTTTTAAACCTTAAAAGTCTCTAGGAGATATTTGAATGAACACTTAAAATTGGGTAGGGAGGTTCACTTAGAGAATTTAGCTAAAGTTATTGATTATCAGCATTATATTGGATTGCTTGGAGTTGTTGATTTGATAAAGGTCTTTTTGTACTGTTTAAAAAACGTTCTGGAATGCTTTATTCCAGTTAAAATTGCTTGTGCAGGAAGAGCTGAGCATTTTTCATGATGGCAACAAATATTTTCAGGGGGTTGTTGAGCAATTTTGTGGGTGGATACCTCTGTGAACTTGGTCTCTGAGGGAGCCATCTGCTAGAGCTTTAACTTAAATGATATAGTGATCACCTACATCCCTTTGCAAAAACTGCTTTGATGGGATGTGCCACAATTTTCAAAAATGTCAACTGCTTTTCAGTTAGCAACTGTGGGAACTAGTGATGGTAGAGGATAAGAGGAAGATGGATATAACAAACCTCTGCTGTGACTTTTAGTAAAAACATTTTGACCATCTTAGGGACCATTAATTTAAAATTCTAGTTTTAAAAATTAACTTTCGGAGCATTTCTTTGGTGTTACTATGTAGATCTAATTGATATAACCTAATTCATCCAAGCAATGTAATTCATTCAATACTAGATAGTAGTAGAAGCTAACTTTTGGGTTAGAATTTGTCCTAGCAACTTCTCTTGTTTGGTTAGATTGTTAACAGCTTCATGCATGGTCGAAGATCCCTCCTTCCCCACAGTTCTTTGGTATTTACAATTCAATAGTGCAAATTGTTGAGGAATGTAACCAGGGGACTGCTTCAGGAGTAGTCTTGTAATTTCTCTGCGTTGTCAGCACCTTTACAATGCTGCAAGTCAGAGTTTATGCTTGAGTTAGGGAGAGAGAAGACAAGCATTTAAAAAGATAGCATAAGAAAGGAACTCTGTGAAGTGTCAGTTCATTCAGAGTTTTTGAGCCAAGGTAATTGGGAGAAAGAGAGTACTATTGACAAAAATGTTTGGAGGCAAAATTGTTTTGGGAGGATAGCTAAATGCGAAAATGGAAATGTCTGGCAGGGAATTAGAGGTTTTAGACTGGAGCTCAGATGAGAAATCAGGGCTACAAATGTACAATTTAAAGTCAGTACTTTGAAGTTGAAGCCATGAGAGTGAGTTCTATGGGCAAATGTAAGAGGGCTGATGGGGATACTCATATTTAGCAGATGAGAAGAAGTGGAGTGAGCAAAGGAGACTGAAGACACTACCTTTCTGGTAGAGAGTCACTAGAAATCTTTGAGAAAGAAGAGGGTCAGAGTGTTGTGGGTGGAAGTCAGATTGTAGAAGCTTGAGTGAGTATATGATGTGGAAATAGAGATAGTGAGTCCCAAGCACCCTTTTTGAGAACTAGTGGTTAAAAACAAAGGAAAAAAATAGTATGCTTGCTCAAGTTGGTAATACATAAATTATCTCTCTAATATAATGTTACCAAGTTTATGATATTTTAATGTTACTTTTGTGAAATTTTTTTTTTAGTGATCAGAAATGAGTGAACCATCTGAACTTGATAATGAAAAAAACAGTTCCACTCAAGAACATGCAGATTCAAGTTTTCCTGAGAGAGACAGTCAAATTGGACAGAAGCAACTGGTATGAAATTAGAATTTTATTAGTGTTATACAGGAATTCCTTATCTCATATAACCTTAACTATAGATTTCTCTTGAATTTAATATGTCTATCATTAAGATTTTAAGCACCTACTGTGTGCCAGGCATTGTGCTAATGAAATGGCAAACCCACACTTTTTCTTCTGACAGCTGAGGCTGCTAGAGATTGCCTTCCTTGCAATCTCTTCCTATCCACATGACTGCAGCAGATCCTGCTACTGCCTCTAATCTAGTTCCTTTCTTCTCTAACTCTAGGTGTCCCTGTCTCAGATAATAGAAGTCCTCCAGTGTCTTGGAGCTTGGCAAGTCCCTATTCCCACTTCCCAGGAGGTGGTGGTGGTAAAAGAAGAGCTTTACTAGGGCTACCTTGTGGGAAGAGAGACACGCTCAGGATGTCCCAAATTGAAATTCTGAGTGTATTTCCTCAAACATTGTTATGTATTTCAGAGCATTATGGGGTTTCAAACCTTAGGTACATTGTGGGTTTAATGAGCTTTTTGTGACCTGGTTTGAGAACTTAACCCTACTTTGTAACATCATTCCTGTGGGAAAATGGGGTTTGACTTCTAAAACATTGACTTGAAAACAGTCTTTTGGAATGTAACTTGTTAGTGATTTAGGAATTTCCTGAATAGTGACACCAAGTAGTACATAATCTAAGAACATCATTCACCCATTCAATCTTGCTTTGGATTAGAGAGAAACTAGATATTCTAGTCCAGACCTGACTCAGGCCTGTCTGGTGGTACAGTTTTGGGTTTGCAATGTGAAGGGACACTTTTGGCCATTTTTTTCTTCCTTAAAAATTTCCTTAATGAAAAGGAAGTTTACTTAGCAGAAGTATAGAAAGGATGTTCATCAAGGATGCAGCATTGATTCAGTTGGGCACAGCTTCCTTGCCTTGGCATTTGCTATGGTGGCTTGCAGGTCAGAAGCCTGTGTTGAGTCTAAAAAAGGAGTCACTGACTTCTCCTGTGCTGGATTTTGTATTCAGGCAATCAGGAAACTATATGGGTGGTTCAAGCTTCAGTCCTCTGTACTAATGAAGCCTCTATGATAGTTTCAGTTCCTTTTAAGAAAAACTGGCCTCTCCTGTAGGAGGTGTGTTACATTTAAGTGCACTGAGGCATCAGAAACAAAACACTTTAGGTAATATCCTTTAGGGAGATATGAATGATGTATTCTAAGATTCCTTTTAGTTTTGATTCTTTGATTTTTATACAATATAATATTGGAACTGAAATAAAACTCTTTATCTTTTAATTTCTAGTCCAGTGCAATAAAATCATGCTGTCTAAAATATTGATATATTCATGTTTTTTAAATTAATGATCTCATATATTTTAAGTTAGAGTACTATACTATATTATAGAGTACTACGTAGAGTACACTGATGTGGTTTTAAAAAGTAATGTTTGTGACTTTAGTGGCCATATCTACAAGTAGACCAGGTTTAGACATTACAATAGTCACAAGTTTTTTTTTTTAAGCCAGAGCAAAAATAAACTTAATTAGTTTTAAACTGATTTACTGTCATAACAATTAAGCCATATTTTAATGTTGTGTATGATTTTATTCCCAATTTATTATATTTAATGAATATCCCTTGTTAGTTTCTCTTCTATTGAAGGTAAAGGTCAAACTAAATTTTATTGTGCTTAGTTTGATATTCTTTCTTAATGTTCCTCAAAATAGCATTCTTTCTACATCAGTGTTCAAAATAGTCTTACAAATACTTGGATTTCTTCTTCTTTGTTAATATGTAACTTAAAAGCTAAAAATCCAATAATCTTTACCTGAGCAATCGTTTTAGTTTGATCAAATGACCAGTTTAAGTGAGAATTTTCCTGTTTTTTGAGTCTTGTGTAGAGTAAATCTTTCACTTTAAGTTTGTCCATCAGTTCAGTTGTATTCTATGGGTCCATATTGTTCAAATCCATATCTATTTTTTGGTAAACGGTGGTGCTGGTTGGAAATAGGCAGGCTATAAAACCTTTCTAGGATTGGGGGTGGGGTGATAGATTTTGAGTTCTGTATTGTGAATACCTTGCCCACTAAGGTACTTTACCACCAGCTTACAGTTTATATAGTGTTTGGTCAGTGCTTAGACATCTGATAATGGTTCAGCTATATATTTGGACTATTTTTACCTTGAGGTCAGTGAGAATTCTAAAACCTAGTTGTGAATTCTGAGAATTGTAGCCCCAGAGAAACTTCTTCTGCCTTGTGAGAAAATGATACTATTGCAGTTTCAAAGGCGGGGCTGGACTTTCTGCCATACCTGGAGTTTTTCCTGCCGTAAGAGAGGAGAGCAGATGGCAGCCAAGGAAGGAAAGTCTGCCCCTGGCTCCAAATCATGATGGTTTCCCTCCCTCCCATGTTGGGAGGAGAACCATCTGTCTATGACTATAATTCCAAGAATTCACAGTTATGTTTTTGGACCTTTTCCTGTTCCACAGGGACATCAGTCCAAACACCTGGTTATATTTGGAAACATATACTGCTGTACTACCTATTACAGGCATCTGATGTTGACATTGATGTTGAGCCCAGGATTCATATTTGATCCTTTCAACAAGCATGAAGTGCCTACTATGGGCCAGGCTCTATTTTAGGTAGTGGGGCCACAGAGACAAAAACAAAACAATCCTTGTCTTCCAGGAGATTACAGTAAGAGGGAAACAACATGAACGTAGAAAATTAAATGCAAAATATATGCCAAGTTATTTGTGGGGAGCCACTAGCGGTTGAGAGGGTCAAGACAGACTTCTCCTGGAGTAGGTGACACTTGAACTGAGCTCTGAAGGAAGCCAAGGGATTGATTCTAAGAGGAAGAAGTGAGGAGACTCAGGGAACAGATAGCCTGTGCAAAAAACTATGGAGATAGAAGATGAAAGATCAGGTGTAGGCAGCATGGTGTAGTGCTGGACTTCATGTCAGGAAGACCTGGTTTCAGATCCTGTTTCAAGAACTTACTAGCCGTGGGTCACTTCACTTCTCTGTGCCCTAGTTTTGTCATCTGTAAAATAAGGGAAGTTGGACATTAGCTTTAAATCTAAGATCCTATGATAAGTAGGACAGTTTGGTTTGAAGTAGAGTGCATGATGAGGAATAATGTATAATCAGCATTGAAAGATAGGCTGAAATAAGATTGTTAAGGGCTTTAAATGTGGAACAAAAGAGTATGTATTGATTTTGGAGGCAATAGGAACCGTTGGAGTTTTTTGAGCAGAGAAGTGACATGGTCACGCCTGTGCTTTAGGAATATTAATTTGCTATCTGTGTGGAGGATGAATTGGAGTAGGGGAGAGATTGGATGTTGGGAGACCAATTAGAAGGCTATTGCAACAATCCGGGTGAGAGTGGTGAGGGCTTGAACTAGGCTGTGTAAGTGGAGAGAAAGGGATAAATATAAGACGTGCTGTGGAGGTTAGCAATTCTTGTCTACAGCATAAGGATTTTTTCTTCTGTCATGGGAGTATTTGGCTATATTAAGACCTTTTAAATATAAAAAATATATATGTAGAGTTCAAAGGTCTTAGAGTTTATGTATTTCTAGCAATGACAAGAATTAACTTCTTGAAAAATTCAAACACTTTAGAGTTTGGTGTATAAAACATCTATATGTTTCATGCCATTATGGTAAGAAATATGAATAACACAATTTGAGCAAAAATAAAACAATATGAAACTATAAAGCTGTAGTTACTAACAAGTCTTGTTTGTTTTATAGCAACAAGTAGAGCGACAATTAAAATCCTTAGCATTTCAAAACCCAGGACCTCAGGTTGCAGACTTCAATCCTGAAACCAGAGAGCAGAAAAAGAAGGCCCACAAGTCAAAGATGAATGAGTATTTTTCTGTGAACAAGTAAGATAATAATCTACCATATAAGAGTAGGGGATTGTAGAATGAGTTTCCTTTACATAAGATTTGTAATTTGGGTTTTTTTTTGTTTGTGATGTATAAAAAAAGCTTCTTAAAATTACAGTAGTACCCCATTTATCCGGAGGTCAGGCTTACGGAATCCTCAACCATCTGGAATACAGCCAAGAAGCAGGAAGTAAGTAAAAAAAAAATGGTCTTTGAGCCTTTGTAATGCAGTAATACCTCAAAGGAACTGTGCTACAATTACATACTTTGTGGTTAGAAACTTTATTATCAGAGATGATATAGAGAAGGCCTAGCATCTGGAGGAAGAATAGCTTTCTGGTGTGTATTCTAAAGGACAAGGAAGGCTCTAGAGTCTGGAAGAAGGTGATGGTGAAGAAAGAAAAGCATCTCTGCCCCTAGCCACTCCCAAGAATAGCCTTCCTCTGGGGTAGTATAGAATTGCTTCTTGTCCTTTTGGCTAAGATCAAGTAGAACATGTGTTTAATGTGTTTAAATCTTCTGGCTTTGCCAAGGTGTTGGACAGCTTTAAGATCCCTTCCAGCTCTTAAAAAAGAGTCTACAGGAAGTGGAGTTTGAGTTCTGAAGATTTCTCTTCTGCCTCCTCTCTCTCCAGTTGAATAGTGTGATTTTTGGGGATCTCTTTCCTTCCCCTGTTTCTTATGCATTTGCATAAAATAACCTCATATACTTATTGATACCTGAAATTCCTTAACCAGGGGACAGAACATTTTGTTTCACAATTAAAGAAATATGATGGTTAAGTTAACAATACTGGTTACCATTGACAAACTTATTCATAACAAAGTAAGAGTCAGTCAGTAAGCTAAATAATGCAGTCAGGTCTTTCCCTATTTTAAGGGGAAAGAGATGAAGAAAGGAGGAAAGCATTAGGCACTGTAAGTAGAGGGGAGGTAGAGGCCTTGCCACTTAGAGGAGAGGACTCCAGACAAAGGAGGAACTAAACAGTTTTGCTAAAGTCCATTTCTATTTTTGACCAATATGGAATGAGCAAATATACAGGTTTTATAGAGGTACTTTTGTTATGCTGATACAAGGCACATCATCTTTACAATATTGATGAATTTTTTTTCAAATGAGGAATTATTTTTATGACGCTTTCTCTGTTAATAGAAGTATCATGAACTATTACAAATCCAATGCACTAAAGTTCTCATACTCTATAGGAAAATGCTGTATTTGTATACAATTCTAACAGCCTTGGTTTTCTGATTTCTCAGACCACAACATATTAAAAGCAATTTAAAAAGCTGAGGGCTGCAAGAGTCAGATGATGTTGACAGCAGAAGTGATGCCCAACATCAGGAGAGGTCATAGAAAAAACTGTCATATTATATCTTTGTATGATAATTTATATTCCTGAATCATCAAGAAAGGGCTTAATTAAGTTTAATATCTATTATTTTAAAAAATAGGTATGTGTATAATGCATTTTAGAAAGATTTCCATCCAAATCTTTTTTTAAATTGGAAATTGAAGGTGTAAATTTAAGTTACCTTTTTTGAATAATTCCCTTAAATGTGGAACACCTAGTTCTTCAACAGTGCCGGATAAATGAGGTGTTACTGTATGTGACTGGTTGAGTAGTTATTTTCTTTCCTGTTGATAGTTCAAGTTGATTTGAATTTTCTTTGGTATCACTGTCAAATTGTATACAGAAATTTTGTTGTGTTTAACCACAATGCTATTACCATAGTGTGAAGAGAATTTTTTAAAATGTAGTTTACCTAGAGATAACTCACTTTAAATATTGAAAACAAAGTGAACTATAGTCATGATTTTTTCCTTGCAGAGTGATGAAGAAATATGACAAGAATGGCCGACTGATTTGTAATGGTGTAGACTTATGTGACTGCCTGGAGAAGAACTGCCTAGGTTGCTTCTATCCATGTCCCAAATGTAACTCAAACAAATGTGGACCAGAGTGCCGCTGTAATAGAAAATGGGTCTATGATGATATTGTAACTGAGACTGGTGATGTTATTAGCACATTGCCATTTTTTGTTCCTGACTGAGGTCTTTGTGAGAAGATTTGTGCTTAATGGGCAGTTATTGCCCAAACTTTTTTCATCTTGTCTTTTCAAAATGTCTGATTAATATGAAAAAATAATTTCATTGTGGTGAAAAATAAAAAAAGCACCTCTCCTTAGATGTGCTAATTCAGATTTTCCTTAGTTACAGTTTTCTAAACTTTAAGATGTTCCAAATGCCAAAAAGAAAACATTTTCTTATGCACAATGGAATGGAATCATTTAATTTCTTTCTCATTCTCTTTATAGTTTCGTTTGTCATGAGATCCAGTTCAGAAATTGTTTTAAGATTTAAAAATTTGCATATTGTTTGGATTATTTTCCATAAACAAAAATTTATCTTTTATTCATATAGAATAAGAAGTAGTAACTCTTAGTTTCTAAAGCCAAAAGCCCAATGGCTTTCATTTTGTAACTACTGCTTGAAAGTGAAAACAAAAAACAAAACCAAGAAAATGTGAGTTGTGTTTTAAAAGCATGTTGTTTTATATGTTTCAAGCTATATAGTATGTTAATAAGTAGTTTCTTATAAGACATAGTGTGTAACTAAGGACTTGACTGAAATACTTTTTTCCCTCATGCTGTTGCAGGTATTGTGGAAATTATTCTGAGTTTCTTTTGTCTTTTAGATATCACCACCTTCTGTGTGTTCTGAATTATAGTAAAGTTTAGGTTATGAGAAATAGGAGTAGAGTGATTAGATAGAAATTATTAGTCATAATATTTAGACTAAATAAAGTATACTTCTATGATATGTGTGTTGTTTGTAGTTTTTTTTCCCCCTTCATGAAGAGGTTCTGAAACTTTACTTTCTGTCTAACCAGTGTGAACCAGGGCAGCTGTTTGAAGCTTCATGACATTTTATAACTTTTAACCGTATTACTTAGTAAAGTAACACTAAATTCATAGCAATAACTCCATGCCTACCACGTTGTTGCAGGATGAGTAGCTAATGCAGTGGCTTGTATTGCTTTTCCATTGCTTTTTTCTTCAGGATTCAATGTGATTTGTTGTAGGTTGCTGTATTTAAAAGAAGGAAGAAAAATGCAAAGGTGTCAAAACCAGACCCTTTAAAGTGTTCATTGGTAGTGTACAGATTTGTAATAGGTGAAAGTCATTATTAAAAGTAACTTCAGGGAGTATATAATGTAGAATCATAGGATTTTAGAACTAGAAGCATTTTTCAAAATGATCTGCTTTCATTCACTCATTTTATAGACAATGAAACAGGTACAGAAAGATGAAGCAACTTTCTTAAGGTTGTAAAGCTAATTAATGGTAGAATGCAGAATACTAGAATGAAGGCTCCTGGCTCCCAGTTGAATGCTTTTCCACTGTACTATTAGTTGTTCTCTTTTCATATCTGGAAAAAATAGATTTCAAATAAGTAAAAACCCTACCTTCTTCCCATCTCTTGTCATTGAAAATGATCTTTGTGCTTTTTTTAGGTGAAGAATATAGTACATTTTTACTTTACTTTCCAAAGAGCAAAATTTAAGCAAATAGAATATGTACAACTATTACATGCACATATTTTATACCTTTTTTTTTTTTAATAGAAACATAGGTAAAGTGCTGGAAAAACATTTCCGGGGGAAGGAGAGGCAGTTCCTTTTATTGCAGATTTTCTCTTCTTGAGCCAAACTTGATGTAATGCATTAAGTTTCAGGTAGAGGGGCAGCTAGGTGGTGTAGTGGATAGAGCTCGGGCCCTGGAGTCAGGAGGACCTGAGTTCAAATCCAGCATCAGACTCTTGACACTCACTAGCTGTGTGACCCCACCCCACCCCCAAAAGTTTCAGGTATGAAATAAATACTAAGAAAATGATTTATATAAATTGAGAGACTTCTTTTGCAAGTCCATGATTCTTGTTAGATAAAGTGGAAAAAAATCTGACTGTGAATAAAACACTTAGGTTATTTCCTCTATACTCAGATTAACAAGAACTCCAATGGTATTATCTGATTACATTAACTGAGGAAAATTAGGCTGTCAGTATAATCTCTGTCTAATGGATTTTTTCCCCCTCTGCTACTTGGCTATCTTTCAAGACTGTCAAGTGTGTCTCATGAATATGTATAAAAGTATCTGGGTGTTTTATTAAGTGTCAAAATCGAAACACATTGTGCCAGCCGCGCCGTGCACTCTCCTCCTATAAGGAGCAGGCTGCCAGAGTCATACTTACCAGTCTTCGGAGCCTACCCGGATAAACACACAGAGACGAGCCGACCAGGAGGTGCCAACACCCGAGCTTTATTCAGAGGCCATCACAGCAAGGCCAAGCAGGAAGGCCAGAGCAAGAGAGCAGGAGCAAAGAGAGAGCGAGCTCTGACCACTACCCGTTCCTTAAGTACCTACTTAGCCCCTCCTCCTCAGCCCGCCTACTAGTCATTGATTGTAGGATCAGATACTGGAAGGGGATGTCTGAGTTTAGCATACGAAGGGAGAGGAAGTGACGCAGGAGGCTAGGACCGGATACAGGAAGGAGGCATCTGGGATTAGTGCGTAGACAAAGGGAGAGTACGTGACCTAGGAAGTCAGGCCCAGATACCGGGAGGAGGCGTCTGGGGTCAGTGCTACACAAAGGGAAAGTATGTGACCCAGGAAGTCAGGAAGGACACGGGAAGGAGGTGTCTGGGGTTGACGTTGCACTTAGGGAGGGGACTAAGCAAAGGGAACTTGTCCTCTGCAGTCCAACTCCCACGTGGCACAGCCCCCTGCCTCAGGAGCACGTGCTCCAGCTACTTCTTTGTATTCTGTTTCTTCCCCAGCTATCACAGCTCCACATAGCACTGCCCACTGCTTCAGGAGCATGAGCTCCGATTACTTCTCTGTATCCAGTTCCCATCCCAGTTCACCACAACTCCGCCTAGCACAGCCCCTGCCTTGGGAGCGTGAGCTCCGGTTACTTCCTAATATCTTGTTCCTACCCCATCTTGCCACAACCTGCACTTGGCAGTAGCCAACATCAGACAGTCCCTCACACACATGATGTGGTTTAGACCTGTATATGCTTTTGTGCTGGTGCAAGTATATGCTCATGTGTGCCCATTTCATCGCTCTAACTAGGAGCCTCAGGAACTTAACCATTGCAGCTTTGTCTCAAGGGAGGAAGTTTACAGGGTACCAAGTAGTACCATCAGACAATATGCTTCAGCAATATAGAAAAACCTCTGAGTAATCCAGGGCATACTTCCTTCCAGGAGGGCCTAGTCGTTCTGCAGCATAGAACCTTGTGGTGCCCTGGGACACCTTCCCCTGGGCCATGATCCAAGGGAACTTTGCTATTTCCTCTTTCTCCACTAGTTATAATTCTACTCCACTCTACTAGTTATAATTCTGGTACACATGAGTTCATACTGATTTCTAGCCTAGGAAGGTCATATCACAAGCCATGTACATAAGCTTTAGTGATAAGCTTTTCCAAGTTTAATATTGAACAATTGAATTTCCTGATCTGTTAAATGAGGTCATTGTTCCTCAAATTCTCAGCATTAGAAAAATAAAATGTTTGAAGAGGCAGCATGGTAGAGTGGAACAAAGGATGGATTAGTGTCATAGGAACTTGGTTTGTAAATCCTTGCTTTGCTACTTATTACCTGTATGTCAAGCAAATTGCTTAATCTTCCTGGGCCTAACTTTCCTCATTTGTAAAGTGAAGGGATTGAACTAGATCAGAGCTTCTTAAACTTTTTCCACTCATGACCCCTTTTCCCATTTTGGCAGAGTTCATTGGCGTCATATGGCCTGAAGGGCACGTGCAACGCAAAGTGTGAATGTTTTGTGTTCAGAACCAAGGCTGCAGTGAAGTTGTGTAATGCAACAGGGGCAAGCGCTGCCAGAAACACCTCGGATTCAATACGTGTTTGATTTTGGATTAAGTTTTGGTCATTGCACATTCAGAAACCTTTTACTTTGCCAATTTTTCGAGACCCCATGTGGGATCTCCACCCACAGTTTAAGAAATGCTGATTAAACTGTAGATCTATGATCCTGTGAGCCATTATGATTTATTTATACTATCTTCTTTTATTAGCTATAACAAATTGCTTTGATGCATTTTTAAAAAATAAGACCTTAAGCTTAGGAAAGCTTCTGTAGTATTGTGAAAGAGCATTGGCTTGGGAGTCATGAATTCTTAGTTCAAGTCCCAGCTCTGTCAGTAACTTGTTGTATGACTTTGGCCAATTCACTACACATCTCTGGATTTCAGTTTCTTCATTTGTAAAACAAGGGGGGTAGATTAAATCACCTCAAAATTCCCTTCTTTCTTGAAAGTTCTGGGATCTCTTTTGCAGATCAAGAACTTTGAATCTGTCTGTGGAGAAACCGACTTCATTTTTCTAATTACTATCTATTATATTTTTACAACGTAAATGCTCCTGAAATGCTACTCAGTTTGTGAAAATAGTAGATTATAACTCTAGAATGGCTTTACCAGTGTTTACATAAAGGTTCTATTCACTATAACTTTTAATATATATAGTCTCCACTTGACATAAAAGCACAAAATGCCACCCTTTCCACTTCAGCACCGAAACAGGAAAAACAGGAAACTAAGTTTCTATAATCATATTAAAGAGGAAGATTGACATGATTGCTTCAATAATTGAAGCTATTTTCATGATTCTAAGGTTGCTTTTGATGAGGGAGATAACCCTTGTGTGAATTTTAAGATTTTTAGTATCTGGCTATCTAGGCACTACCTACTGTTCTATATACTGGAAATCAGATTGGGGGAAAGATGGTTATCCTTCACTATACTTTGTCTATCTTTATATTTTTTGCTTCTGCCACCACCATTCTTTGTTCTGTAGTCATAAAATTGTTGTTGTTCAGTCATTTTTCAGTCATGTTCAGATATTTTTCAGTCATGTATGTATGACTCTTCATGACTTCATTTTGGGTTTTCTTGGCAAAGATACTGGAATGGTTTGCCACTTCATTCTCCAGCCCATTTTACAGATGAGGAAACTGAGGCAAACAGGGTTAAGTGACTTGCCTAAGGGAAGCTAGGTAGCAAAGTGGTTAGAGCACCGGCCCTGGAGTCTGGAGGACCTGAGTTCAAATATAGCCTCAGACACAT